CCTAAAGACGCCCGGATACACACATTCATCAATGCATTTTGCCTTGTGTTTACTCCCTCACTGCCCACAGCCTGAGCAGACCCTCACCACACACACTTTCACAATAGCTTGGCTGTTCTTTTCTCTCAGCAAATCTACTGCTCTGCTGCAAGCAAAACATCCCTAAAGCCAGCTACTTCCACGGTCCTGCCCCAAGCCATCAGCTCCTGTCACCTAATTACTACTCGATCTTCATCTCACCACTCTCTCCCTGCCCTGCCCCCTGCTTGCTCTCTCCAGCCATTCTTCACTGTTGCTGTTTGCTTACTTCCCAAATCTCTCAAACCACACAGTGTCACTGCTGGCTCTTGGCTTTGTTCCTCATATCCACTGGACTTCCTTATTCTCCTTTCTGCTTTATTATAATCTAATGTATTATTTATGTGTTTGTTTATTCCTTCTCTTCTAGAAAAATCTAAGTCCCATTACAGTAAACATTTTTATTTTCCTGCATTGCTGTGCCTAGACCAAAACACACTAAATATTAGGTGCTTGATGATTAACAAAAAATTACCAGAAAGCCTGTCTTCCTTCTACTGATCTTTGCTTCGTCGCCCACTTCCTCCTACCTCCCAAGTTATAATACTAAAAAATGCATCTGACATTCTGCTGGCTAAAAACTTTAATGGCATTTTCACATCCTGCAGATCCTCTCTCTCCATGCCCCAAAAGCTTGTGGGGTTTCATCCTACTGGAACCTATTGTGTCACTTCATTTTTCCTTGTTTCTCACATAGCTCTGCCTTTACTTACTCCCATCTTTATCCATTCCCCAGCCTATCTAGTCCTTTTTTTCCCTTTAATTTACTTACTTCTTTGAAAATCAGAGAAAAACTGATTGAGAAACAAAGAAGTCTTCCATCTGCTGGTTCATTCTCCAAGTGGCCAAAAAGGTCAGGGCAAAACCATCCTCTGCTGCTTCGCCTAGGCCATTTACACGAGGAGTACACGGTGTACAGAGCAGCTGGGAAGAACCAATGCCTTTACAGGACACTCCTGTTGCAGGTAGAAACCTGATCAACTAAGCCACATCAGCCCGGAGAGCCATCTATACTGCAATGTCTCCCTGAAGCTGTCATCTGCACCCACCATTCAGTTCACACCTCCACCACTGTATCTGGGCTACAACTATACATTTATCAGTCTGGTTTCCCAACTAGATTAAGATCCTGGAGAGCAAATCTCAGTGATGCTGCATCCAGTTTTGTTTCATCAGTGCTTAATGCTATAATTAGAGAGGAAGCACTACACCAGGAAAAGAGAATGTCTTCCTAAGGGAGTGTTTTCAAACCTGCACCTGATAGATAACTTGGTGTACATATTCTAAAAACAAACTTAGTTTGGTAATTTCAACAATAGTTAACTTGACAGACTCAGGAACCAAAAATAACAGGAAGGGCACTAAACATACTAGTATACAAATCACATACTGGGTAGAGCATAAAATATACTCTGATGTGAGATAAGGCAACTAACTACAGTTCTTTTAAAAGAGGGAAGGGAAACTTGGAACAATCTAGTTCAGCTACCTTATTTTATGAAGGAAAAAAAAATCATTAAAAAGCATATTAAACAAGTTAGAAAACCAGGATCAAAACAGAAGGTTCTTACAAATGGAACACATTACAATTGCAACCTATTCAAGAATTTTAAGGCCCGAAATTGTAACTTCCCGGGCCAAGTGTAGATAGTGAAAATAACACGGCAAGTAGGAGTTTGCATATCAAGGTCTTTATCAAGGTTGTGCTTGTGAGGTCTCACATAAAAGATCCTAACACTACCATGATTGCTCACCACAAAGCACTGATTTAAGAACCAAGGGAAAGTCTGCTCACAAAGTACAATCACTTCTATTCGCATCATTTCGGATTTTCCAGGGCAGTCTCTTGGTGAGATTTCAACTGGTATGGGGAGTGTGGAGGGCCATAACCTACTATGATTCTGACTATTTGGAATTATAACACTGTTTTATATGTGAAAGAAAAGCAGGGGAAGGAGGGAAAAAGGCACAAAGGTTGTTCATAATGGGTATAGAATTATCTCCTAGGGAAGCAGAGTGTTAGCCAGGCCTGTCTGTCAGGCTCTGAGGATCAGCAGCTTACACTAATTCACATTACGGTATATTTTTCCCAAGTGCAAGCACTAGAAAACTTAATAGCAGTACACTCCAGAAGTTCCTTAATGGTTACTTGAGTTTTATTTATCTTTTCCCATACTACTGTAGATGCATCCAAAACAGGGACTTAATAGTACTCAGCCCACAAGAGTTATTTGCAAACTGTTTTAACTGGGTTCAACTGGGTAAAGCTGGCTCGTGGGAGTTGTGCCTACGAGGAGTGAAAGACAACACTGAGAGGAGAGAGACAAGGATGCCACCTCTCTCTGACTTCCATGACTCCTGCACCCTCTTTACTTCTAAAGACCTTCAGAAACTCCGCTCAAAGCCTACAAACAGATGGCTATTTCTACACTGCTAACACTTAAAAAAAAATACAATGTTCCAGCTCAAGGCCTGAAAATATTCAAAAGGAACTACATCAAACAGATTTTTCTTAAAGTTAGCCATTTGGCAAACAATGTGCAAAATGTTCCCATGTACAAGAAAATAAATTTTAAAGAGAAAAAAATACATTCCGTGAAATCATTTTATATTTAGAATCTCATTCTAAAAACAAAAAATTCATAGCAGTTGTAAATATACATCAATAACCCCACATTTTCCTGGTGCTCACAATATTCCTTACTTTTCAAAAACATCAGAAAAAGAATACTCAAGACAATACCAGAGTCACACATCTTTCTCCAGCTAATTTGCAAGAACTTTTATTATGGTATAAAGTAGCTGTAATGCAGAGTAACTGGAGCCCTCACACAGATAAGCCTGTTTTTCCCTTAAAAATCATCTTGTTTGGGGTCCGGGGAGAGGGAGGAACGGAGCATCCAGGAGTGAACAGTCCGGTTCAGCAGCACCGGACAAGACAAACACCTGAGAAACACTGACCCAGCACAGCAGTCTTCAATGTGGCACATATTACTACTACCTGGGGAGTTTTCAAAACTGCTACAGCACAGGCTGAGGGTTAGACCACACAAGGGCATCATGACGTCCCCCTACAGCTCCCCAGACAAGGTTGAGAAGCACCAACTTTGCAGACCTTGCAATGTTCTCTTAGAATCCTTTTAGCCCTGAAGAAACTAGACTTGGCAAGTTACAGAACTAAGTGAAGTGGTAGCAAGGCCAGAGCCCGGCCCATTTCTCCTGATTGTTGTTGTTACTATGTGGGGTGGATGGCATGGAAAAACCACCTGCTTGCCTCAAAATAACTTTTACTTAACAAACTAAAATATAGCTAAATATGTTTGCACTAATTAAATCACAACTACTTTAGTCCCTATTTGTTAATATGCCTCTCAAAATTCTTCTTCAAAGTTTTCAACATTTAAAACAGCAAAATTTCAAATTCTTTTTAAAAGTTGGCATCAGCTCCCAACTAGAAAACTTACTTTGCTCTCTGAATTTGGTGAGATGTATTTTTCATCACATAGAATATATAATTCTAAAGTACTTTGCACTAACAAGCAACAGTTTCCTCGCACATGAAAGAATTTTTCATCTGTTTTAGCAAAAATCTCCCGATTGGTTTGCCCACATTCAGAGTACTTCTCAAAGTACTAGTTAACCTATCCCATGAATTTCCTCAGTAGGAAAGATTCAGGAAAAAAAAGTGTGAAGTACAAAATTCATGCACCTGTTACTTGTAAGAGTTTATTTTTTTCCCCTAAAAATGATGGACTTGTCATCTAGTAATGTTTTTATTATTACAATACCAAAGTTGTTGCAAAATCAGTTTTACCCTCTCAAGATTGCCAAATAAGTAGCTATTTCAAATTCCAGCCATGTCGATGATTTTGGCTTCTAGGTTTAAAAAAAAAAAAAAAGTGTTTAGAATACTTGAGCAAAGTCAGATCAAATTACTTCACAGGTAAAACTTCAGCCATCTGAAGATAGCCTACAGTACAAAGCCTATTTCTGATTACATCTATTCACACAGGAGTTCATTTCAAGGTTCTGCATTTTCAACCTAGTGTTTTAAACAAGAATAAAATGCAATGGATTTTGTGTCGGTCAACTTGATGAATGAAAGCCCCTCCTTTTAAACGGTTAAAATGGCTATGGATGTAAACTTTAAAATCTAACCAAAGTATAAAAGCATACACTGTGTAACTGTCCCCCAAACTCTGCACTGGAGCCAAGACCATGCCTCTTCAAGGCACAGCAGACAATAAAATCAACAGAAGCAGCTACATCTTCAAGTGACAACACAGTACCTAGCAAATCGGGCTAGTTTGGGTAACTCCTCGGCGTCTCCATTTCTTGCAGGAGGCTGTGTACCCCCCAAGGTTTGCAAAAACCTAAGTATTTTTTTGGTGCTAACCACGTTTCACTTGCCATTTCAAACTCCCGCCTGCGACACGGCCCTCGAGGGTGGCTCAAAAAACTTTCCTAAAACCCAAACGTGTTTATTTTTAGGTTTTTTTTTTTTTTTTTTCTCGCTTGCTTACAGGCATCCTTGGGAGTAGCAGTCAGCCAACAAAACGCCAGTCAAGTGGGCGATCTGGGCTGCACCTGCTAGGCCTTCAAGCAGCGGACCCAGCGGGGGCCGGGCCGGGCCGGGGGTTGGGGTGGACACCCCGAGGCCCAGGGGGGCCGGCCCGGCGCCGCACACCCCTCCTGCCGCCCCGGGGCGGGGGGCTCGCGCGTGCCCGGCCGGGGCGGGGCGGCGCCGGCGACCCCGGACCTGCCCGCGGCCGCGAGCCTGAGGTTCACACGAGGGCGCGCGTCATGGAACTGACGGAGCCACACAGACGTCCAAGTCATGCAGGAGGCGCCCGGCCCGGCCCGCCCCCGCCGCCGCCCGACCCTCCTCTCCTCAGACAGAAAGACAGACAAGGGTTCCCGACCTGTCGTGCCCTGCATGTTCACAGTCTGTCATGTTTGGTCAAGAACGGGGGGGGCTGGAGGGCAGGTCTGCGAGGCCGGCGGCGGCGGGGCGCGGGGCGGACCCCCCTGCGCCGCCTGCGGGCACCTGCTCCCGGCCGCCGCCGACAGGTGACGAAGTGGTAAAAACTCACGGTTACTAGTGAGCGACACAGACACAGACTTTCCAGTCTATTAACAACCACGCCAGAGAGATGGGGCTCTAACTGCACACACTGGGCCACGGCCCCCGCGCTGCCGGCGCTGCCGCTCTAGTCTCTATTCGCCGCCGGTGGCTGAGGCGTGGGAGCGGGCGGCGACGCGGGCATTTGGACAGTGGCCGTAACGGTGATTTCTCCTCACCAACATGGCGGCACCCGAAATAGGCGGCTCGAAAAGATGGCGCCGGCCGCAACACCTTGCCCGGGACTAAAGGGCAGGAGAGATTCCTCCGCGAGCCGCGGCCCTTGCCCAGCCCGCCGGGCCCGAGCGCGCGCGCCATTGGAGGAGACGGCGCGTCAGTCAGCTCCGGGGGCGGGTCTCTCCCTCCCCTGCGACCGCCGTCTCGGAGGCGCGGCGGAGGCAGCAGCCCCGGTGGCGAGGCCGAGCGCGCAGAGACGCGGCCGGGGGTGGCGGGGGAGGCGGCCCGCGGGGCTCGCGAGGTCCCCCGGTCCACCCGCGCCTTGGGCCCGGCCTGGCGCAGGCCCGCCTTGGGCCCTGGGAGGCGCCGGCTGTTGTCGGGGATGAGGAGTGACAGAGGCACCCCGGACCTTAGCCGACGTGCGTAAGGGTGGCATGATGAAGTGGCGTCGTCTTTTTGCAGACTTTGTCGCTGAGATGTAGAGCGATGATCTCATTGTGCAGTGTTCAGAGTTCAGCGTTTTAACGAAAATAGCTTGGCCTGCAACATTTGTGATATTTGATACTAAGTGTATACACCCAATCCTTACTTGGTAATAAATAGATGTTGAAATAATTACGTGAATTTTATGTTAATTCTTAAGAATAATTGACACTGAACACAGGGCTTACCCCCTCCCCCCATTATACAAGTGTTTTATAAATATGGCCTTTTGAAATAGCCAGTGTTTTGGCCTACTTAATATAGTGTATATCTTAGTTGTGAAGGGAAGTTGTTTTTTACAAAAATGATAGACTTAATGGTTAGTCCTCCCAGCTGCCTGCCTGCCTTTGTGTTTTCTGAAGAATGCACTGCACTAATGTATAAATGGAATGCATTCAGAAGTAATTGCAGTTAGTAGATTAAATTTGGAACTAAGTTTTGTGTGTACACATATATAGGTTAAAAAAAAAAACTCTTGCTTTTTTTTTTTTTAAATTTGAATGCACCCATTAAGAGGACTGATAATTCCACCAGCAGCTTTTAGAATGCCTTAATAGGAAAAACTCAAAAAGCAGGTGTTGTGTCTGGAGGAACAATATTAGCATCTGGAATTACATTAGAACATCAGGCCTTGTTACAGCTCTTTTGCAGAATTTGGGGCCTACCTTGGGCTAATTTGGATAGCTATTTGGTTTGAACTTGTCCAAAGGCATTTAAAGCAAACAGTGGCTATATATTTTGTTTTCCCCTTTGCTTCTGTTTTTTTGTCTCCTAGACCTAGAGGCCTGTCTTGGGCCTGTTATGGTATAGGAACAGTGCAATTTTTTTTTAAAGCCTGCTTTTGTAACTTCGTCGTACACACTGCTTAGGAAATCTGATACTAAGATGGCATCAGGCCCAGTCTTTCTCCATCGGTAACAGAAAGGGAAGAGTGGGTGGGTGGGTGGCTGAAATGCAGGGTAGGAATGCTCCTATGGACTTAGGACACAAATGTGCTCAAATCTGTTCCACAAAATGCTTTCTTTTCTTTTTTTTTTTTTTTCCCAAAGCCAGAGAGGCCCAACATTTCTCAGAGGTGCTTTCTGTTGAGAAAGACTGCAGCCACCACCGTGACTGAACCAGTCAGGAGTTTTCAGTCTGATAGATTTTACCTCGTGGTGACATACTGGAACCCTAAGAATGCTGACTCCATAATGAATTGGCCCCAACCTCAGCATGAAGAGACAACCAACTAGGGCCAGGTTTGTAGCAAGACAAGGCTACAAACCTAGAAGAGCCCAGCCCTTTCCTCCTGCTCCCCTTGCAGTTAAAGTTCAGACCTGTGGGAAAACTGACCTGACTATTGGTCCCTAGTCTTTCTTGGTTTGAGCATTTGCTAAAAAGGACTTGGAGTGGTGATTCTCCTCCTGTTCCTTTTGAGAAGTGGATGTGTCTCCTACAACTCCAGAGTGTAATGAGGAAGATGGTAGTATGCATAAATATGAATTTCTTCATAAAAAAAATTGGGAGCGGGGGTTCATGAACTAATCCTGATTTGATTTGCTTTAGTGTGTATTGTATGAATTTCATTGGCCTTAATTGCTATTGTTTTCTGTTTATTTTTGCCTAGTCATGAGTGGAATAGGTCCGTCATGTTCTTTGGCTGTCTTAACTTCATTATCTGGGTTCTGCTAGCTTTGTAGAATGAGGTAAGGAATATTCCTCTGGTTTTGATCATCTAAAAGGGCCTGTGAAAAGCTAGAATGTTCTGTTCCTTGAAACTTTAGTAAAATTTGCTTGTAAAGCTGAGCCTCACATTTTCTTTGTAGAAAAATGTTTGAAGCCATTTCCATTTCTTTTACTAAAGGACTTTTCAAACTTTTTATTTTGTCTTGACTCAGTTCTCAGAATAACATACTGTCTATGGGTTTATGTATTTTATCTACATTTTCTAAGAACTCATTCATCTAAGACACCAAATATAATTACTAACAGTATTCTGCTATTATATCCTTATTGCTATGGCCCTTGGGGTAAGACTATTAATTACAAATTTCCTATTTTCTATATATTTGTATGATAAAACAATCAAGCAAAATAAATTAAAAATCCTTTTTTTGTTAAAAATCCTTTAATATGATGTTGAACTTACCCAGTCATTTAATTGTATCACATTTTGCTTTTTTATTGTAAGGATAGTTTATTAGGTACTGAAATGGATAAAGTTGTTTTGTCTTCTTTGTGAACTATTTATTAACTTTTCCCATTTTTTTTTAAAGACTTACTTATTTTTATTGGAAAGGCACATCAGATTCATAGAGAGGAGAGAAAGAAAAAGAAAGAGCTTCCATCTGCTGGTTCATTCCCCAAATGGGTGCAGTGGCCAGAGTTGAGCCAATCAGAAGCCAGGAGTCAGGAGCCTTTTCCAGGTCTGTCTCATGGGTACAGGGTCCCAAGGCTTTGTGTCATCTTTCACTGCTTTTCCAGGCCACAAGCAGGGAGCTGGATGGAAAGTGGAACAGCCAGGACACAAATCAGCACCCATACAGTATGCCAGCACTTGCAGGGTGGGGATTTAGTCATTGAGTATTGTAACAAGTCCCCCCCCCCTTTTTTTTCTAAAATTTGTTTTACTTGAGAGTCCGAGTTACAGAGAAAGGTAGAGATCTTCCAATTGCTGGTTCATTCCCTAAATTGCTGCAATGGCCAGGGCTAGGGTGCTGTGAAGCTGGGAGCCAGGAGCTTCCTCTGGTTCTCCCACAGGGAGTCAGGGACCCAAGGCCTTGGACTGTGCTCTGCTGCTTTCCCAGGGCAGTAGCAGGGAACTGGATGGGAAGTGGAGTAGGCGGGACATAAACCAGCACCCATAAGGATGCTGGTGCCCAGGGCAGAGACTTAGCTTACTATATTGCAGTAACCCCATAAAATATATTTCTTAAATATGGTAACTGTTTATGTAGCAACAGAAGCTTTCTTTTTGTTTTTGCTTAACTAACCTTTTTGTTTTAATTTCCCAGCATTTCAAAAGTTCAAAATATTGAAGTAACCTTATTTTAGCCTGAAGGGTACTTGTACCAAGTGTGGGTTACTGTTTGTCCAAGGCAGTTGTGGGTAAGAACAGAGTCAGAATCCTTCCCCCGCCATTTTCTTATTCCACATGCTTCCAAATCTGCTTCCTGCCCCAGCCACGAGGCACCAGCTGCTCTGGTTTGTGTCCCCTAGAATCCCTGTGTTGCAAATTTAATCCCCAGTTTCAACAGAGTTGAGATAGAGGCCTCATGGAAAGTGTTTAGCTCGTCAGGGCTCTTGCCCAAGAAGAGGACTAGTGGAGTGTATTCTTTCTCAAAAATTTTGCTCCCAGCTACGTGAAGACACAGGGTTTGTCTTCGCCCTATGGTGGCCCCCACCAGACTGGATCTTCTTTCCCTGATCTTGGACTTCTCCCTCTAGAACTGTGAGGAACTAAATGTGCGTTCCTCATGAATTGCCCAGTCACAACAGAAGTGGGCTAGCACCCACCCATAGGTGTAAATTTACAACAGCACTTAGTCCCACAAGCCCCATCATCACCCACAGTCCCTTACCCCTGCTTCTTGTTACTCTTTTAAGATTTTGTCATATTAGCTTAGTCACACTATTAGCTCTCTGTTCTTCCCTCCAGCCATCCATTGATCCATCTTAGTTTTGCCACATTCCAAAGTAAGTTACTAACTTTGTTTCTGCCTTGGTCTATTTAGGCATCCATAAGACGTTATCCTAGACTGGGTGGTAGTTTATCAACACTGCAACTTCGTTCCTCACAGTTCCGGAGGCCAGGGTGGCAAAGACAAGAGTGCCGGAGCACTTCGTGCCAGTGACAGCCCATTCTCTGGTTTGTTGATTGTACTGTTCCGGTGTGTTCTCACAGGTCAAAGGGCAGGGGAGTTCTCTCTGCTGTTGTTTATAAGGGCACTACTTCCATTCACAAGAACTCTGGTGTTTGTTACACTAATGAAAAGCTAATACAGCTATTAAAAAGAGTGACATTCTACCATTTGCAACAAAATGGTCCCAACTTAAGAATATCATGCTCAGTGAAATGAGACAAATATCATCTATGCTTTCTGATATAAGGCAACCTTCATAAAAAATGCAAGATGAAGAGATATACAGTAAACATGTATATATATATACATTCATCTAGAAACTAGTATGCAGAGAAGTGAAGATATATTGCAGTATGCTTCCCTACTCTCTAATCAAAGATGGACTCCCAATGAAACTGACAATAGGATGCTGGACTTTATATCATTCTATATCTACAATGTCGGGATACACTTAAATAGCAGGATGATGGACTTGGGACTGTTGCTGAAGGACTATATAATTGTAATAATATAGGGAGAAATAGGGAAAAATCCCTGAGCCTATGGAACTATATTGTGAAATAAAAAAATTAAAAACAAAAGGCTTAACGAAAGTTCCCATTTAAAGAATATACTGAAAGTTGTTATCCCAAATTCATGCTAGATTTTGTCAAATGATACATTCATGCAATTCTGACTCATAGCATGCTGAGTTACACTGAACCAGTCTATGTTTTCGAAAT